GGTGGTCGCGGACCCCCCGATTCGTACTTGGCTGCCACGTCGTCCCCAGAGAGATACCATAATATGGCCGTAGGCCTTCCAGTTTTCGAGATTCAGGTTCTGAGAGTGAAGTTTCTCTATCTTAGCCTTGACCTCCTCGGGGACGTCCAACCCAGCCAGGGGTTGAAGAATCTCTCCTGGCGTTCGAGGCCTGAGGACTCCTCGCCATCTTTGTCGCGCCGGGCGTACGAGATGGTCAGCGCCTGGGACAGGATGGTCACGAGGGACAACAGCTTATCGCTTTCGACTTTCGTGCAGCCGGCCACGATGTTGTTCTTGGCAATCTTTCCAAAGACTTGGACCCAGATCTTGCTGTGCTCGTGCAGGCGTGGCGTCGCTTCGTGGTCGAAATAGTTTGCCACAAAGAGCAGACCCGCGCTGTAGTTATAATTGTCCGCTGTCGTGTCTTGCTCGATCTGCTCTATGATGGAGTCTCGCGTGAGGAACATGTCGTGGAACTCCTTGACGAATCCGGGGTTCGCCTGGAGTTCTGCAAGACTGGGGATGTTCTTGGAATCAAGGTGGGTGTCGATCATATCTGCGTAACAGTACCCCATCAACCGGGTAAGAGCATCGATCATCGTAAGCTCGGCGATGTTCTGCGCATGTTTCTAATCAGTTCCTGTTCATGATTTCGCTTGTCTAGATTTCATGTTGACTTGCCTCGTCCGCACAGAGCCGAAACTGGTACGGGTCTTCATACCAGGGCAGCCTTGCTAGGGCACGTGCAGCGGAAGACTGAGCCAGGGTCGAAATGAGGCCCCTGGCTTCGGAGCTCGTGATGTGGCTACCATGCAACACACTCTCAAGAGCCAGACCATTTCCCAGGTTATCTTGTAGGAATGAGAGGCCTGAAACCTGTCGGGCGCGTTCTTGCAATTGTTCCATCCATTTTGAAGGGGTAAAGGCAGGGATGGACTTGAGTGCAGAGCACAACGCCTCCGGGGTCGTCGTCATGGTGGATCAGAACTTGAACTTGAACGTCGGCACGAGCAAGGAAGGATCCTAAAGATGTTAAAGATGAAGAGAGCAGAGGAAACTGAAGGAAACAAGGAAATACTGGCCGCTGTGGCATCCATTCCCCTGCCCTTTATAGACTGGAACACACACCACCGCCTGCTACTGAAATCCGTTCAATGAACTTTAATGCGCGTTCGCATTCCGATGAAGCCAAGATCAACCCACTCGGAGTCGGTCCCTCCAATCCTGGGCCATCCGCTTCATTCTGCATCATGAAGCCACTCGGCTCTAGAATAGGCAAGGGTGTTTCGCACTCCAAGGAGGTAGTGGTGCCAGTAGAATGAATGTCACATGTGTGGAGTAGATGGTGATGGGACCCGCAGGTAAAAGATGGAACAGAACAAACACCGGAAGGAGAATTAGAGGAGTTCTAGATCTGTTGCCCAAATTTTCGTATCTATCCACACCTAGGGTGGTTCCTGCCACAAGTGCAGCCTGACAACCATCCATCGAACGAATTAATTACCCAAATTGAGAACCGCGGCAAGCGCTGACCGATCAGAGAACCACGATAGGCACCTCAGCATCCCCGGGTTCCACTGCTCTGCAGCTCAGCTGGTAGCTGCCATTCTATCCTCAATAAGAGGTGCCTTAGCAGCACTCTCTTTCGCTAACTCGAAAGGAGGCTAGAAGAATCGACCTCCCCTCTGCCCGTCCCGCCCGGCTCCCCCGAAAAGAAAGAGGAAAAGACGTTAGGGAAACCACGAACAACGAAAGACGCGAGAAAAGAAAACCGAGTCAAACAAACCAAATACAAGAAACGGAGTCAAATAAAAAGGTACTAGTACTTTGGACTTCCGCATTACTTTTTCTTCTTCCTCTTGTCCAAGCCTTCGTCACCATCTAACTGCACTTGGGATGCGGCTTTCCTGCCGATGGGGTGCATAGCAAGACGATTCGTCATTTGTTTATGCTATGCATGTCTCACTCTTGGGGCATACATGCAGCTGGACTGCATTTTGGCATTGGCCCAAACAGCGCGCCGTGCCGGCCCAAGCATCGGCGAATAAGTGAATGTTGTGAAGAGGGGGAGTTTCATATGCATGTCGACAATGATAGCGAGCCAGCATATGCGCCAAGAGCTCAACCGGTATGCCCTCACTCCCTATCACAGACTCCGCTGGCTCTCTGTTCCCCAACTGACCCTGTTCGTTTGTACCCCCTGCCCCGCAAGATATACGCAAGTGCGAGGGGTAAGATCTACTGTGTCGAAGAGATCGACGGGAGCCTATTCGACATCTGCAGCATAGCTTTCTTGAAGAGGCAAAGGCAACCCCGAAAAGCTCGTCCTGCATCAGCTGAATATCACGCCTCCCAGACCCATCACCTCCGTTGCGACAGCGGGTTTGTTGATGCCAGCCCGCCGAACCAGGATATGCGCCATTTCCATGGCTTGGAAAATTCACTCTCTCAAAACTCTGGCAAATCCTGGTCCAGATCGGCCTTCCAAACCCCCGTCGTGGGCCCTCAGGGTCGTCCTCTCTTCGGTGTTTCGGGAGGCCGCCCAACAAAAAAATGCCCCGTGCCTCCCGGGGGGGGGGGGGGGGGGGGGAATGCCCGTTCTGTCCAGCCCGTCCTCCACAACTTGCTTTTGCCATCTAATGAGCTCACGGCCTATCAATTGTGTGAGCCAGTGAAGAGCTGGACGCAGAAATGCAATGGTACTCAGCCAGGACGATCGTGTCAAGAAACTTGAAGTGGATCACAGGGTGTTTACGACCGTCGATGACCAAGTCGAGCGGGGCTCTACACGATGGATGTGTGGTCCTGGTATACAGCATAACAGACATGGCCAAAGAGCGAGCCGAAATTATTAGCTTGTGGCCTTATATCTTGGGAAAAGAAAGGAGCCCGGTAGTAAAACGGCTCGAGAACTCCCTTAAGTATCCGATTAATTAACGATCAACTTTTTAAAGGTCGTGGGAGAGGATGCTGTACGGTTCGTCGAGGGCCTCGTCGATGCAATGTCTACCTAGGCACTTGATGGTCCTGGTACACTTAATATATGGAGATAGCTTTGGGCACGTACTTTACATGTTCAACTGATGTCTATACCAGCTCCTATTATAAGCTAAGCTAAAAAAACGGCCCACACTCTGACACAAGGAAAAGGAAGTTCTCGCAAGTCGCCGCGCTGTGCATTGCCGTGCTGTATGTATGCCCTATCCCTGCCCCTTGGTTCTCCTCCCAAGCATGCCACACGCCATTCCCAATGATCCTCCATCCTCCCACCCACCTGTCTCTTTGTTGCTAAGAAAAGTTGAGAGCCTTCATGGCTCGTTTTAGCGTTCCCGTGCTTTGTCTGTTTCTGACTGGGTTTGGCAGAAACCATACGGCCAAGCAGAACCTGAACAAGTGCACACTGGTGTCCTCTCTCTGTACTCGTACAATGCAGCCCGGCCCGACGGCCATATTTTCTTCACAAGCTGCGGGTAAAATCTTGTTGCGTTTCCGGCATTGAAGGCCAGGATGGGCGCGCAGTCCGATGATGTCAGTAGTTAAACACGATTCATCCCCACCCGCCACTGAGCAAGCCGAAGCCCGGCGGCAAGGGGGCTAGATCTCGCCGTCTGCGATCGCCAGCCGCTGCTTGGTAGTTTTGGCTTTCTTGCTGCCCATCTTCTTGCGCTTGCCACCGCGCCCGTCGTCACCGCCGCCGCCCGTGGGTGTCGCCGTGCCCGAGCCCTTGTTGTCATCAAAGTTGCCTTCGCCTGTGTGCATCAAGATGCTGCGTCAGTCTACGTCGTTTCTTGGCTACGCCAGAGCTAGGACCGGAAACAGATAGAGAAAACGCATTGGACGGGTTAGGAGAGTCGCAAAAAGAAAAACCAGGCTCACCCTCGTGGTACATCTCATCCAGGCTGACCGATGCTGCCGCAGCCGAGGCCGCAGCTTCGCCACCACGTTTGCGCTTGCCACCGCCACGCTTCTTTTGTATCTTGTCGTACTCGCCGCTCTCGAGTAGCTCCTTCTCGCGCCGTTCGATGAGCTCGGCCTGCTCGTCGTCGGCGAGCCACATCGCGATGTCGCGGTTGCGGTTCTCGGGCGCCCTACGGCCCGAGAAGTCGACTCCTCCACCAGCCGCCGAGGACCCGCCGGTGATGACAACGCGCTGCACTTCTTCCTTCTGCATTGCCCGTTTGCGGATCCGCTCTTCGATCGTGCCGCGCGTGATGAGTCGGTAGACGGTGACTTGTTTGGTTTGACCAAGACGATGCGCACGGTCCATGGCTTGCGAGTCGATTGTCGGGTTCCAATCCGAGTCGTAGAAGATGACAGTATCGGCCGTCGTGAGGTTGATGCCGAGACCGCCTGCGCGAGTCGAGAGCAAGAAGATAAAAATCTCGGGCCGGGTTTGGAAGTCGGCAACCGTGTCGCGCCTGTCTTCGAGTTTGGTGGAACCATCCAGCCGGCAGTACTTGTAGTTGCGGTACGTCAGGTACTCCTCCATCATGTCGATCATGCGGGTCATCTGGAAATACAATAGGACACGATGCCCGCCTTCCTTCAACTGGCGTAGGAGTTCGTCTAACTTGGCAAGCTTGCCGGAGTCGGTAACGAAGCGGTGCATGGACGGCACCGTAATGCTGGTGAACTTCTGCTTCTCGTTGTCCGGTGCCGGCAGCAGAGCAGGCGTCGGGTAAAACTCGACGGGCATCTTTTGCGTGACAAAGGCCTTCGCTTCTGGAGGTGTGGGTCCATACAGCGCCTTGCGCATCTGAGGATTAAACAAGATATTCTCATACTCGATAACAGAACCGCGACTGTTGCAAGAAACTTCAATCGGTGGAGCCGTTGCGCGCGAGCGCGCAGCTTGTTCAAGGCGACCGAGCCCAAGATCATCGTACGTCGAACGGGCCACGTTCATGAGGCTGCCAAGCACGCCTTCTTCGGTAATCTCAGCCAACGGCTTGCGATCTTCGCGCTTGCAGATCTGAAACAGGGCATGCGAGGGAGTCCAGTTCTGGTCCTCAGGTTCGCTATAAACAACCTTCATGGCTCCCAGTCGGTCCTTCTTGGCGGCCAGGTCGGTTGCACGAGCGAAAACATCCTGATGACTGGCCCTGTAGACTTCCTGCGGGCTGGTGTTGGCAAAGCGGAGCCATGTGAAGTTGTCGGTTCCGCCCAGACTGTCCTGGATGTTCTCAGGTGTCCAGATATTCATCATCTGTTCCAGATACCTGCTGCGGAAGCCAGCAGTAAGATTGTCGGGCCCAGCCTTGTGTAGGCGTCCACCGTCTCGCCACACAAGACGGGGTAACTCGTACTCGACCAGACTCCGCGTCGAATAACCCACGCTAACATTCGTGCCCTCCCGAACAAATGAGGCCGTCTCTGCAAAGTAGCCGCATGAAAAGGGCGAAGAGGTATCGGCACGCTCGAACAGGTCCGGATGGTTGCAGACCTTGCGGAACTGCATGACGAGATTCATGAGACTAGCGGAGTCGTCATCACCAAGGGTTGCCTTCTCAATCAGATCCATGATGCTGATCTGGTTGCGCAGGTTCGAGTACATCGCCCGCTGGCGGTAGGTGAGATCGCAGAACACATCCAGCTCGATTTTGTCACCCAGTTCCTTCTGGACATGCTTCTTGACACGACGAAGCATGAATGGCTTCAGGATCATGTGCAGACGCTTGAGCTGGTCCTCGTTTAGTTTGGTGTTGCTCTGGGCATGTGACTCGATATCCTTGGAGAACCACTCGCTGAACTCGTCATGGGAGTCGAAGAGGGACGGCATAATGAAATGCAGCAACGCCCATAGTTCCTGCATGTTGTTTTGAATCGGCGTACCCGTCAGCAGCAACCTGTTGCGGCAATGGAAGCCCAGCAGGCATTTCCAACGGGAGCTCTGGGAGCTCTTGATGGCCTGCGCCTCGTCCAAGATCATGTACTGCCACTTCATCTTCTGGAAGTATGCGACATCGGAGACGACAAGCTGATACGAGGTGATCATGACATGGAAGGGTGCATCCTTTTTGTACGTCGTGTGCTTGCGGTCCCAAAACTTCCGCAGCACCTTGCGATCTGCCGCGGTACCCCAGTAAGGGAGCACCTTGAACTCGGGAACGAACCGTGTAATTTCCTGTTGCCAGTTGTGCAAGGTCGATGCAGGGGCAACGACGAGGAAGGGGCCCCAAATGTCGTACTTCTCTGCCAGGTAGGCCATGACGGAAATGGATTGGACTGTCTTGCCGAGACCCATCTCGTCGGCGAGGATGCCGTTGATGCCTTGTTCGTACAGGTTGACCAGCCAGTTAAGGCCTTTGAGCTGGTATTCTTTAAGCTGACAGTTGAGGAGCTTCGGTTGCTCGATCTCGACGTCGCCCATGCCAGTGGGGTTCTGGAAATTCATCTCGCCATCTTCGTCAATGTTGTTATCGTCCTTGTTGAAGTCGCGTGCCTTCTTCTGCGCCTCGGCGATGGCATTCTGGGCATTGGCCATGGCGGCAGCACGGAGGGCCGACTCGTCCTCGGCATCGAAATCCAGGTTCTCGAAATTTGTGACCTTGCTGCCAACGGGTCCTGTGGGCTCCTCGACATCCAACTCCTGATCCGGAATTTTGTCCTTATCGTCCTTCGCCACGTCGGGATGGTCGGTGCTGCGTTCGACCTCGTTGGTTTTGATCTTCTTGCCGATAAAGTGAGAGTACAGCTCGGTCTGTGAGATCAGGAAGTTGAGCTTCCTCTTCTGGCGGGCTGCTTCGCGGTCGGCTTCCTCTTTACGAGCGTTCTCGAGCTCCTGCTTCTCGGCAGCCTTGCGCAGATCACGTTCCTCGCGCTCATTCCGTTTCCAGAAGCCCATCATGTCACGCATAACACGCTTAGCGCGTGCTTGCAAGTCCTTGGTGCCCTTGTTGGTTCGGAGTTGCCATCGTTTCGCTTCCTTGGACGCCAGAATAGCCGTTTTCTTAAGGTTGGATGCCTTGGTCGAATACGAATCAGTAGCCAGCCTAAAGACCTTGTTCACATCCTTTCGAGCCAGGTCACGCCAAATCTGGTCGTAGATCTGGTTGAAACCCTTGGACTGGAATCTCGTCTCGAGCGGGTCCTTGGGCTCCTCCGTGGCCTTCTCCTTGTCTTTGGAATCCTTCGGCTCCTTGTTCTCCTTGTCAGCATCGTCCTTCCCGCCCTTCGACTTGCTGAACTTGATGCGGATCTTGGCAGTTTCTTCCCTGCTCGGGAGCTCCTCGCCGGCATCCAAGGCGGCCTGTGCAGCCTCTGCCGACTCCTTCTCCGCTTGCTTCTGTTCCTTTGACTTCTTGAGCCTGCCTCCAGCGCGGCCTTTGCCCTTCGTCTTGCCCGGCTCCATGTTCTCGGCTGAGAAGGTGGCCATGGTGCCGCCCTCGAGATTCGGTTCGATCGGGCCCATATTGCGAGCGGGGCCCTTCAGCCCTTTCTGCAGGATGTACTTGGTCTGCTGTACTTTCTTATTTGCACGCTCGGCCTCCCGCATATACTTTTGCCTCTCAGCCTCGTCTTGGGCAGCAGAAGCTCTCGCCAGGGCCGCCGCCCGCTGGTCCATCGTTGTCGCCATGGATTTCTCACGACGCCTCTTACGCTGCATATCTTTCTTCCGCTCCTTCTCGGCGAAGAGCTCTTGCTCTCTGACTTCGTTCAACGCTTCGTCGTAGTTGATCTCGTAGTACCGGCCTTTGCCAAAGTCGGCATGTGACTGGAGCTTGTCGGCCTCGAGCTGAGCGTAGTCGTTTCGCCGGGCTTGTCGGTAGGTCATATCTCGCCGATTCATTTCTTGTCGGCGACGCTGGGCACGCTCCTTCCAGGCGTGCAGCTCGTCGTCGAAATCGGTCGCATCCACGTCTTCGAAGTCAAGCTGTTCCATGAGCTCTCGAATCTTCTTTTCCTTCTCAGCCGAAAAGACCTTGTGCTTCGGGAGGCCATTTGCCGATCTTTTGGCCGGTACTCGTGTTGAAGAAGGGGTGTCGGCCTTCGGCTGGGCAGGCCTACGGGGTATCTTGGGGGTCGACTCGATGCTCCTAATGTCCGAGATGCGTGATGTCTTCATGCTCTTTCGGTGGTGTTTCTTCTCCTTGTCCGTCCTCTCCAACTTGTCTACGGCGATCACAGTGTCGTCGGCAGGGACTGGTTGTGAAGTCGGCCGGGGTTTAGAGACGGGCTCGGAACTCGAAAGGATGTTGGAAAAAGACATAACGCCCGCAGCCCGACTTGGGGTCTGTGCCAGACCGTCAGTGAATGGGATATGCACAGAAGAATTCATCGAGACTTACACCTGAGGCAGGGGTTCTAGAGGGAGGTGCCGGAGACTCGGTCCGTGCCAGGGCGGGCAGGACCGATGTCCCGTTGGTGGTCGCGCCGGGCATCGCGATTTGCCTTAAGCTGGGTGAGGCGATGGCAGGCGGTCTGATCGATGGACTGGTGGGCCCAACCGCCGGTGAATGGCGAGGGTGTGTGGTGGGACTGCGCGGACGATAAGGTGCTGTCGTCGTTGGAGATGCGTAGGTCCCGTTGTTGTAGTATTCCGTGGAAGATTGCGAGTAATTGTAAGGGTCGCGGACCTAACGTGGAAAGGAAAAGGTTTCGCGTCAGTGAATTTGTCGAAAAAGGAAAGGCGGGTTTGGCGCGTGGAAAGAAGATAAAGTCACGCTTCGCTGCGCGCTAGAAAAAAAAAAAAAAAGCCGCCGTGCTGTCGTGATGGCGTGTCGATGATTGAAGGACTGTCACAACCGAAGTGGAGGAGGAAACTGATGATCGGTGGTAGGTGGGTTGATGGGGCAAGGGATGGGTCGGGGACAAAGGAAGGTGGGCAATGCTTGGTGCCTGGCAATGGATGGCGTTGGAGGGTTGCCCAAAATTGAGATTGCTTACCTTTGGCGGAGAGGCCTGCGCACTGGAGCGCCAGGAGCCGGTTTCTGAAACCCTGCGTTCACGGTCTCGATTACCGTCGGTTGTCGGGTCGTAAAAACTGCTGGTTCTCGATTTCTCGCGTATCGGATCGCGATCGCGAATTTCCGTTGGGTAGTATACCGTCGGCGCGTGCAATGGTGACCGCGGCGGATGCTGCAGGCCTGATGTCGCCGCCGAGACAATGTTTGGTGGAGCTTGCAATGGTGGCGGCAATGACGACGAAGGCGTGGATCCAAATGGGTTGTTTAGAATGGAACGGGACCCTGATGGCTGACCCGCGGCCGCCGATGGTGAGGCGGCATAGGCGCTCGGATGGTGGTAATCGGATTGTTGGGTCGGGGATCGTAAGTTGAATGACGAGTGCGGTCGAGGCGGCGCAGGTGCCCCAGGCGTTCCCGGCTGTGTTGTCGAGCTCACGGGGTTCAAGATGTCGCGCAGACCCCCGCGAGGACCTCGATCTTCGCCCACGGCCCCATTGCTCCCATCCTCATCAAAATGAGGCGGTCGCTGCAGCACCGTGGAAAAATGGTCCATTGTCAACCGGCCACTTCGGTAACCCTGTTCCGCAACAAGTTTCTCGGTGGTTTTTACAAATTAGGTATGTGAGCCCATCGAGCTCCCGGCCGTCGCGGATCACGTCGGAATCACGGCGCTAATTCGACACTTCGAATCTAGTTGCACTGCAAATGCTGTCGATGGCGATGTGGCCAGATTAATCTATGCAGCACCAAACTCCAGGCACCTGTGAGCTCGATCTGGCGCGGGTCGAGGGGTGCCGGAAGCGCGCTGCCACCGGAGAGCAACACGCCGATTTCGGTGGTGGTCGAGTAAACGTCAGGGTCGTTGAATGTATCGCGAATAAAATCGGACGAAATCGAACGGTCGGCAATAAGCGCAATGTCGCCCCGGGTTTACGTGGTCTTCTGTCGGGCAGGGGGTTGGAACTGCTGGCATAAGAGAAACACGAATCACTAAAATGGTCAATTAAGGAATTCGGGCTCGGGCGCCGGATGTTGGAGGGCGGCGCTGCCGACGATGTTGCGATGGAAGGTAGCGGCGGTGGTGATGGTGATGCGAGAAAGAGCGTGCGACGGGGTCGGTTTTGGTGGTTGGGAATCCATGGGCCAGGCTGGATCGCGCTCCTCGTTTTGGCCACATCTGCCTCGCTGCGTTGGTGTGCCGCGCAGAGTCTTTCCCCCAAAATGCCCCTTTGACACCCGCTTCCACGCACCTCTCGCGAAGGTGATCCATCCAGTGGCCCACCTTGCCTACCGATTGAGCAAAGTGAGTGCCACTCCACCAAACGTCAGCCCCCTGTTATGTATACCCCTGGCTACTTGTTAGCCCTCGGCCCTTCAAATCGCCCTTCTTGTTGCAAGAACCAATGCTTGGGATTCCGCAAAACATCGTAACTGGGTTTATATATGGTTCATCTCTTGCAATTCATTACCTTTTAGTCTACTAATGATGCTATGGACGTTTTTTTTTTACTTCTAACGCTAACTTGCAAAGAAAAGATCTGGCAAACATCCGCAAGTAACCTAACACCCTAGCAACACCCCCTCCCTGCTGGTCAGGTACAGTCCATCTCAGCCCTGGTGCCAATTACCCGCCGGGGCTGGCCGCTGGTGCGTGCGTCAAACCATGCTTCCACGAAGCCCTGCTTCTCCCGCGCCCCGTCGGTCCGGGCCTCGAACCAACCAGAATCGAAAGCAGCCCAAACCAAGACCCTCGCCTCGCAGCCATCAGAGCTGGATGATGGATTTGTTGGTGGATGACCACCGCTGACAACAACGGGGATTCTCGTGCAAGAGGCTCAAGATGTCACTTTGAACTGATTTCATCCGAAGGACGGTGTACACTCCTCCGCCCTTCTGTCGGCATCGCGCCAAATGCGGATGCGCAAGTAATTACCTCCAACAATGGACGCATTTGAGGGGGTGGGATGGGTTAGGCCTGGACCCTGCTTTCGAGGTTGGGGAAAGAGGCACGGAGGCAGGCGGGTCGGCGGGGTTTTAAACGGCGGTCCAGCAACTCCACCGTTTTCGGATATCACTCCTTCGTACCTGACGGTTCCCTGCTTTGGCCCTGACGAAATGGGACGGTGTCATCATCGAGTAACAAAACATGGATTGTATCACGGCATCGTAGAAAGAACACAAATAATCCATTCTGAATTCCGTCATTACTCGGCTTTCAAGCTCTCGAGATATGCAACTCACGAATGGCGGAATCTGTGGGTAACGCGGAGCAAAGGGTCACAATCTATCCCATCCCAAAAGCATCATGGCCGCGCAAATGACCGCCGCCATACCGATCCAACACCCCCTTTGTCCCTCGGCCGCTTTCCGTGCCATCTTCGGCGCCGCAGGGGCGACCCCCTTTTCCGCCAGGCCGCCTTGCAGCGTGGCCCGTTGTGTAGGGCATCTGCGGCGATGCGGCCTGCCGTTGTTCTACTCCTCTCGTACATGCGAACCGTCTTGCTCAACCACTTCAAACGGCGCCAGCGGAAATCATCTTCTTCCGCAGGTAGTTCTTGTAGTCGGAGATGGTGCCATCCCATTGCTTGATAGTCCTGTTCTCACACACCAAAATCTGCTTGGCGATCTTGTCCAATAACCTACGAACGTGTCAGCATCCGTCATGTAGAATGCACCCAAATCGGGGGGAGGAGCTTACCTGAAGTCGTGACTGACGACAATGACTCCGCCGCTAAACGCGTTGATCGCATCCGCCAAACTGTCGATTGTGGGGATATCCAACCCGTTGGTGGGCTCGTCGAGCAACAACATGTTCGGTCCTTCGATGGCGAGCATGGCAAAGACGATACGGCTCTTCTGTCCGTCGGACAAGGTACCGATCAACGAGGGTCTGAGCCTCTCCCGTCAGGCCGTAGCGGCCGAGCTGCTGCCTCCAGTACTGGTAGTCCTGCGACTTGTCCTTGTGCTTGTCGCGCACGAAATCCAGGGCCGACTTGGTAAGGTCGAGCTGCTCAGCGGAATGCTGTGAGTAGAGACCCAGCTTCAAATGAGTGTGCCTGGTCACGGAACCGCCGGTGGGAGACAACTTGCCGGTCATGAGACGCAGAAGTGTGGACTTTCCGACACCGTTCGGGCCAACAAGGGCAGTCCGCGAATCCATGTCGAAACCGAGGTCAATGTTGCGGTACAGGTCGTCCTTAGGGTCGCCCGAGTAGGAAAAGGTCACAGCATCGAAGGACAGAACCGGCGGGGGAAGCTTTTCGACATCAGCGAAGCGGAAAGTGAAGACCCTGTCGGCAACGACAGGCTGGATGAAGCCATCCGCCTCCATCTTGTCGAGAATCTTTTGACGCGACTTGGCTTGTCTGACCAGGTTGGCGTAGGTACCGGCGCTGGCGATAAACTTCTTGATATGGGCAATTTCGTCTTGCTGCTTGTGGTAGGCCTTCATCTGGTTGGTCTCCTGCTCAGACCTGGTCTTGACGTAAGAGTCGTAGTTTCCACCGTAGTAGATGAGCTTCTTCTCCCTCATGTCGATCATGTTGGAGCACACGCCGTTTAGGAAATCCATTGAGTGGGAGACAAGAACAAGGGTACGGTCCCACTTCTTGAGGTACTCCTCCAGCCACACGCAAGCCTCGAGATCCAAATGGGCCGTAGGGTCGTCAAGGAGCAGGAGGGTGGGCTTGACGAAAAGCGCCTTGCCGAGAGCGACACGCATCCTCCACCCACCAGACATGTCCTTGGTCTTCTTGTGGATGGTTTGCTTGTTGAAGCCCAGACCCGTCAGAATGAGCGAGGCGCGAGTCGCGAAGGTCGCGGGGTCCATCGTTTCCATGTGCTAAAGGTTCGGTGAGTATTGACTGTCACGAAATAAAACTGAGAATTATGTCCACATACGTCGTAAAGATCCATCAGGACGGGAGACTCGGGACCCTCCTCCTCAAGCAGCTTCTCGGCCAGCTTATCAAGGCGCTCCATCTCGCGCTCGGCTTCCGTAACGACCCACTCCAGGGCGCCCATGTCGCTCGGGGGGGCACCCTCGTTCAGGAGATAGATGTCTACATGCTCGGGAACCGGGTACTCGCGGGCGGCGATGGCCTTCAGCAGCGTACTCTTGCCGCAGCCGTTCTCGCCCAACAAACCGTATCGGCGGCCCAACGTGAGTTCGAGGGTGGAATCTGTGATCAGCACCCGACCGTGGAACACCAAGCTTACACTGGTAATCTTCACGTCTTTGCTGGCAGCGGTTGAGGATAGGACACCGGTGGTGACGCGGTCCGAAAGACCATGCTTGTCGAGCTGCTCGGCCAGGCGCTTAACCTCGCCCATCTTGTCCGAAGACGTAGCGGGCTCATCAGGCTCGACCGGGTTTCCGAAAGCGTCAATCTCGGCCGGGGGTGTCTCGTCGCCGTTCACAGATGCGGCTGCGCTGGCAGTCTTGGAGTTCGCCTTGGACCGCGAGGCGACAGTCTTCTTCCCCTCAGCAGCGCGCTTGGCGAGGCGCTTTTCCTTGGATGCAGACGGCGCCATGGTGAAGGTAAGGAATAAAGTATGTCAAGAAGGAAAAGAAGAGAATAAAAAGTCTCGAAGCTTAGTTTGCGGGAACTGGGAGCAAGAAATCTGCCCTCGTTTTGATGTCCCCGATTGAGATGATGAAGGAGGCGAAAGTTAGCGGCGGCGCCTGTGGTGGGTTGTGGTATCAGAGCATGGAAGGTGGGGGAGTTGGGTTTGGTGGGGCAACATATTTTCGAAAAATTCTGATAACAGATAGCGGCCTTAGTTTCCAGCAGGCAGCAAGGCATCCAGCTCTAATCTCAATGAATGTTTCGTGGTGTACGGTATTTATTATGAATCCAGCATCTGACAAGTCAAGAATCTTAAAATCGAAACCTTAATGACCCACCGACAGCTAAAATTACCATACTACCTACATACCTTCTTCAACTTTGTTGGAGTTGTACCCGATCAGCTTGTCGGGCTCGAGGCGAGGGTTCAGCCGATACGACGACTGACGTCACTGCAGCTTCGGGAGATAGTCACGTGATTGCGTAGGTTTGGGATTCAATTGTTTTTGAGGAGAATTTGTGGTTTTGAGTCTTGGCAGAATTGCGGTGCAAGTTTCAGCCACACATGGAGCTTTCCAAGTATCTTCCAGCGCCGCAGTGAGATTCATTCCCTGTATCCCGAATAAGGCTTGTGGAAACAACCGTACGCCGTATACTTCGTGCTGGTCTAAAATAGTAGCAAATCCTCCTCGAGCTACCGACATCAACACCCCGATCGCAGATCTGACCAATTCACGATCTGTGCGCCAGTGCTCATTAACCATGACTCGTCGGGAATTTCGAACTTGGAAGCATCTCGGCTTCCCAACGTATCCTTTGACAGCGTCTCGCAATTACCAATTTAGATTCAAGTTGCAGCGTTAGGATTAAGCATCGGCAATGTTTCACCTTGCGCGGCGTCTTTTTGGGGCTCATCTCCAATCCCAGACAGGCAGAGAGAAGATGGAGCGGGCTCAGCATTTTGAGCCGCAGAGACCGGGACCGAGTGACATCTACCGGGGTGAAAGGAGGATGCCTCGAGGATGCGAACCGGGAGATCGGCACCGAAAGTCTTCACGGCCCGGGGCGCCAAGGGAGGTGAATTACAGAGGCCGCGGGGAATTCGCCACCTCGGACGACGGAATTCATCCCGTACTTTGGGGGTCGAGATCGCGCCTTTCTACACTACCTATGTAAGCTCCCGGCAGGTTACGAGTGGCAAAAGTGTCTCAAAAGCAAGACGATGAGAGGCACGCGGCTCTTTCGGCTCTTAAGATTGCTAAGGACACGGGGGAGCGCGAGGGAATGTGTGGGACGGGCGTCCGCAGCCCATGACAGGGGGTCGTTATTCGGGTGCCTAAAGCCTATTCCACACACCAGGACCAAGCGCACCAACATCCCAGCGGATTCCCAACGGGTTTAGCAGATTCGGGTCTGCCTTAAAGAGTCCACAAACGCAGCCTTGGTATTCTGGGTTCCATTGAAGCTATTGCTATATACGGTCGAACCAACAATCTCGTTGGCAGTTGAATCCAGGCCTGGAACGTGATGGACACATGCAGCATTCCCCCGAGTTGACACGGCCGGCGCACGGGAAAGGGTTCCATTCCAACCAACCAAGGCACCCCATTCATCACCCAACGGACACCTGCAGCTGGGAGACGAAGTCTGGCGAGGCCGCATATCCGCCAAGTTCCAACAACAGGGCTGGCTTTTCTAAATCATCTCTCAGCCTTACACTTTGGGAAACTCGACATGCTGCGCGACAGCACTCGAAAAAGAGTCGACTCTGCTCTCCGAACACCATCATAGGTCGTGGACCACCCGCTCAATGTGGAGGATCAACTTACGGTCACAGCCGTCTCGGCCAGCTCCCCCTTACGATCCCGCCGTCGAAGCTTGGCTGGATTCACTCCCGCCGCCAACAGCGAAGCCCTCGTCGAAAGAGCTCCAGCAGTGGAGACTCACCGATTATCATGGCCTCGGCTGGAGCGTTTTTGTTACTTGCAACGTCCTTCGGACCGCATCCTTGCTCGTTGCTCTCTCCGTGATAGGCATCATCGCCTCCGTCACCGCCGGGCGGCAAGGTCCCTTGGGCGCCTTCGAACGCCTGGTCCCAGTTCTAGTAGTGGTCAGTTGGCTTGCGGCCTACCGTGAACGTTGAGGACCGCTTATGCTAATACATCTCTAAACAGTGTCCCGTGGTTGCTCTCTGGAACACGGCCGAGTTGGTTGTGGCAGGTCTCCGCCGGGATGGCGGGATTCCGCCCAAACTTCACATTGGAGTCGACGGCGTCCTCTTCCTGGGTGTAGCGACTGCGACGGGCACGCTACTAGTGGATGTCATCTGCGGCATCACTGACTTTGGGGCCATCTTCGACACGGCAGGAGAAGAGATTGCCAGCATCTGCCTCTTGATTGTCATGATGTGAGTGATTTCCAAGACGAGAGGCTTCAGATTTGCACACAGCAACTAATATAGCACGGCAGGGTGATCCACTCGTTTCTCCTATTCTTCTTCATTTGCCACTACGTCGAGAGCGTACGGAATAGGTCGACAACCCCAGCGACGACAGGCCCAGGTGTGGTGCCGCAGTATGCCGAAAACTCCGGGCCATGGCCTTCCGCTGAATATACAGCAAGCAACACAGGACCGCACGCTACGCCGGAGGCCCTGAAGGCCCTACCAATTACCTCAACTTTGGAGCTGCGAGACTCATACCAGAAGCCCCATTACAAAACACAAGTAATTGACGTCCCCTCACAACCGGGGCCAGCAACTGGGCTGCCCCCAGCCGCAGTCTTGGAGGGGACAGCGCTAGCACAGGCAATGTCGGGGTTGTGGGACGTGGAAGCGAAATCACCTCATCAAACCAGGTGGTCCGGCAGCGACGAGAAGACCGTCAGCGGCAACGCCGTCCAGAGCGTGGGCGGATATTGGATGTAAAGCGGTGGGGAGGGTCACAGGCGTTTGGTGCAGTGTTACGAGACATTAGAAGGGTGGTACTGGAAATCAGGGAAACGATGGCGGCGACTATCATGGGCATTCAAGCTGCGATACGCGGACGGGAACTATACTGTGGGCTTCTGCATGCATGGGATGACTGAATCAACGGGTTTGGTTACGGCGTTCTCGATAGGATACCCGAATGGCGATTGATTTTTCCTCAACGCATGAGACAGCAGGAGACCAGATTCCGTCAAACTGCACCTAACCGAAAGTCATCGGACTGCCCGATTGGGAAATAATGGTTCCCAATGATGATCACGGCATGCTGCAGTTGAGAGCTGAACCTTGGAGTTTTGTTCTTTTGGTGGAGCTGTCGCGGCCAATCTTGGGCCAGAGAATTCGGGTGCCTAAACTTGGCTGTCACCATCGCTGCTCTCCCGCTCTCCCGGATCGCGGCCGCTCCACTAGCCACGTTGAGAAGCGAAAGGTCCGCCCTCCCATTGGGTCGATCGTAAATCAGGTTGTATCCCTTGGATGCCTCGTTGCGGTGTCGGCAGTTGGGCGGTGGATATCACCTAAACAGTCGACATCGAGATGGACTTGATGGGGTGCCCTGCCCGGTCCGTGCCGGCCCCAGGTTGAAAACCACACCAGCTCCCCTTGTCTTCCGATGAATCATTCCATGAAGATGCATGGTTCTTGCTTGCCACGGAAGTAAGACGGCCTCAAGATGTTGATTCCGGCTCACCTGCTTTTCGTTGACTTTGAAGCGGACAGGCTTGGCGGCTCGCGACGGAATACTTCCGCCCAGAAGACTCAGGGTTGTGAGGTGGGAGAATAACTAGCTACGGCGGCCACTGGACAGCGCAACACGGCCGCATGTCGAGGCTCTTGGCCGGCAGGAGGGCGTCGGGGTGGTCGCGTATCCTGCCTTCCCCTCACTGGCGGCCGGCAACCTCCTCGATCCAGCCTTTCACCTTCTCAGCCACCGTTTCACTGTGATCTGTAGTTATCCCCAGCCATGATTAGTCCTCATCGACCCCCACGAAACAGACATGAAGGGAACTTACGAAGACAAAACGCATGCGGAATACCGGACCCATCCACGACGACCCTCGTCCTCCCCTTCTCATGCCTCCGCCTCTTCTCAATGAACTCATCACGACACCGATCCGCCACCCAATGATCCCTCTCGGCAAACCAAAAATAAAACTTTTCCCACCCCTCCCCCCCTTCAGAATCAGTCTTCACCACCTCCCCCCCACCAACCTCCCAAACCCCCTCCCCCCACCTCTCCTCCCCAATCGCCCTCATCTCATCCAGCCCCAAAAACAACCCCTGCCAAATCCCATCCCGCTGGCCCAGGAACCTCAGCGTCGCGTCCGCGGCATGCGCGGGGAACCCCAGCACGCGGCGCACCACGGCGCCCAACGCCCACGCCGGCCACAGCGCCACGAAGGCCTTGGCCACGTGGGGCGCGGCGCGGTCGAGCAAGGGGATCGTCCGCAGAAGGCTGACCTGTCGCCCGCTAGGCGATTGCGCGATGTGCGTGACGGTGGGGAAGAGCAGGATGCCGGAGCGGAGGGGGAGGGTGCGGAGGTTGGGGAGGTGGGGGTGCTGGTTGGGGTTGTTGGGGGTGGCTGTTGGAGGGTTGGTGGTGGTGGTGGTGGTGGTGTCGGTGGGGAGATGGGCGGTGTGGTGGCGGTGGAAGGTTTCGAGGGCGATGTAAGCGCCGACGGAGTGGCCGATGAGGATTACTGAGTCAAAGGTGCGTCCGTTCTTCAGAGTGGAGGTGTGGACGGTGTGGATGTGAGAGCAGACGCCGTTGATTTGGTCCTCGAGGGAGAAGGGCTCGGTCAGGGTGCCGGAGCTGGTGGTTGTTCCGAACGGCGGCTCGTGGTCCTCGTCCTCGAAACCTAGGAGGTTGCGTCCGTGGATGTGATAAGCGTAATGGTAATCTTGTCGGACTTCTATCTCGTCGAGCAGCTGCCGCAGGGTCTTGAGGAACGGCTCATAGTAAGCGACGAGCCCGGGGTTGCCGGGAATCATGTAAATTAGGCATTGCTGGCGGTTAAGGTCGTCTTGATTCGAGGAAGGGAATTCTAGAAATGGTACTTTATCTTGCCGAACTGTGGCAGCACTCGTCCCGGTGCTACCCATAGTGGCGATGTTTGTAATTGTGTGATGTTTGTAATTTGGTATTTTAGAAAGCGAAGCTAGTCGGTGAGACCCAGGTTACCGGGTTCGTCCGAGTTCAGATATCGCTGAAAAACAAGGCGACCAGTGACAATGCCGTTTGGTTTTAGCGGGGCGCCACCTGTGGACGGGCCGAAACTAAATTCTGACAACGGCCCTCGTCCCAGTCGCTCGATTCTTATCTTTTCGAGTTTCCCTTTCCAGGTTTCATTTTCCTCCTCAAAGCTGACGGCTAAGAGAGAATAACGACCCACGAACGCACCTAACCCGCAAACAAGTGACACAATTCATCCCAGTCAAGAAGCCCCGACCATCTTCATACCAAAAATGAGGGAAGAACCGACGTTCAAAACTTCAATGGAAACTACCGCCTGCATTAAGGACTCGAGGGACCACCCTCTCCTTCTGAACTTGGGATGTTGGATCTTGAAACGCTAAAACTTCAATTCATATATCTGTAAGCTAATACAAATATCGAATCATGCCTTCAGTTCTTCCCATGGCCCAGGGAAACAGATGGTCGGCCGATGGGCAGTACTTTCTCATAGAAAGGATCGCCGATGGAAATTTTCTATGGCACCCAACCTAGGATTTTCCACATCCCGGACGCTGTTGCTCCGAGCCTGCAGGCTGCTGCAACCTCTGCTTCAAAACAGCCGGGTTGACTTTGCGCCGAATCCCCTCCTCGCAAGAAACATGGCTCGGGTAGGAGTAAGACAGATCCAAAACTGGAACTGTCATCTAACAAAGTATATTGGGTAGTAAAAAGATTTAGATCCATGAAACAACTACAGCTTTCTTCTACGCAACCTGGCCAACAATTGACCGACAGTTGAGGCAATGAAAGACTCAGCATGGAAGTCAATCCGTCAGCTGCCCGGGAGCCTGGGAAACGCTGCCGACAGCTTAGATCCGCCCAAACCAGTTCATCATTTGCGATGCCACCATCGCGAACGATTTGCCGCTAGCCATTCTGCTGGCTTGGTGCGAGATATGGCACGGGACTGACGGCTTCCAAGATCAGATTGCCATCCTACTGGTCAAGGCCAGGGCCCGAGTTTCCGCAGAATTAATCAGTGCAATCGGTTGTGTCGGATTGATATTGTTACATCGGCATCTGCAGCACTCTTTGGGCAATATAACATCCCAAAGGTCGGCACCCCGACCAGACATACGGGACCTACTGTATGTCGTTTTCTTTGGTCAGCTTTGTCTGCGCATCTGGAGCTTCACATATTCAGGAAGAGCCTGACAGTCATTACGAGAGACTTTAAACGCCAGCGAGGCCACGACCCCCTTTTCAGGATTTGTGCCCCGTCTCTTAGGCTTAACCAGCAGTATATTGCCAGCCAATCGTCTGCAGTCGCTATAGTCCTTCTACCAACAACGAGGGTCCGCAAGGTTGATTTACCCGGACGTGGTTTATTAAACTATCAAGATAGCAGATAAACGCTCTATAATTAGGCTCACTATCGCGGGCTCTGCTTGGGGGCCACTTGTACCCGCGGCGGATATCAAGGCATATTCCAGACGGCCCTCGTCACCGAATTGCACACTCACTGAGCCACCCAGGAAACTGGAACCCGGTTTGCCTCCACGATCCAAGGTTCCGGGTGACAACTCTAATGACGACCTTAAT